AAAAAAAAAAAAAAGTTACACAGAAGGCAATGAAGGCAATGACACATTATTTCAAACAATCGTCACTTTAATCTGAAACATAAGCAATTTTTTGCCTTACAGATTTTTAGATTTTCCCTGTTCTCGTTTGATTTTAACAACAACGTCGACTTTTTCCTTCCTCCATTGCCGCCATGCTGACTTTGTAACCACACCTTATTGTTTCCAGGCTCCACGGACATTATGCTGAGGTACCGGGCCTCCCAGCTCCAGACTCCTTTTCCAATTGTATTTTTGGTTTTTGTCCCTTTTCCGACCGACCGACCCAAAATCAAAAAAACGCATTTGACAATAAACGAAAAAAAAAGGGGGGGATGGCCTTAGCGTTATCCGGCTTCCGAACAACCCAGTCATGAATGCAACAAATTACCTGGCATTAGCCTGCGTTCCAATCGGAAACCAACAAGAAAAAAAAACCACAAGACCTGGATGAGCTCTAAACCTGAGCCCGCAATACGGTCACGTGATACTGGTCAGCGGATACCTTGTTTTGACAGGTGTCAATTGATCATAACATGGATGTCCAATATCAAAGAAGTACATGGTAAACCAAGACTGCATGTCTCTGTCAACCTATTATTTGGAGTATGGCGGCCATGTTGCGCGACTCCGTCGCCATCGCCGTCGTGCGTACGCGCCCACGAGCAATACCGCTAGCCATGATGACCATGAGAAAATCAACTCATGGGTTTCCTTTTCTCTCCTATATGAGTATGGGGCTCCGCTTGGCGGCCCTTCGGGCCACCGGAGCTCCGCTATAAATTGAAGGTCTGTATGTATATCCACCTTATGTCGAATTTTAGGCTCTTTCGTCTCATTTTTTGCATGTGGATTTCTGTTTAGCAGAAAAACATTGGGTTGCTCTTCATTTTCGAGAAATACCGGTAATGTTACACCAAAAAGGGCACTTTTTGTTGAACGTGAAACGAAAGAAACCTTTTAATATACCCTCATGGGAATCTAACAACCTAAGACGTTTAAACACAGTATGACATCGAAAAATTGAAAAGGGAAAATGCCTATGACCAAGGCTGTGATCTAAGAAAATTTACAAGGAGCACAAAGGTTCCTGACCATGAAACCCTGGTTGCCCAGCACTTAAGCTTATTATGAAAAAAGTGAGTTTTTCCAGTCGCCCGAAGTCAAAAGTTAGTCGCCTGTGGCACCCAGGCACTTCTAGAGCACAGCCCTGCCTATGACTGTTCAAATTGTAAAACAAAACAATTTTAATACTAAGTTGCATCTTCAGTTTGGTTCTTACTTGCATGCAAGCTTGATACTTTCATTTTGGGGTTCTTTTTGGAGGTGGGCAACAGAAACTACATGTAACATTAGGAGGTGATTTACTCTTCCTTTAGGAGCTTATAAGGAAGTTGGTTACAGGGAAGTCAACCAGGGGTCTTCAACTGGAGAATTATTGTCTTCATGAACCACTAAATTCACACAATTAACCTTTAGATGATTTCTGCAGAACATTCAAGCAATATTGGCAAAAATTAAGTTACCAAAAAAACCTTGTGGCAGGTGAGGGAAAGTTGAACTTGAAGTTATCCATAAATTATTTCAATTAAAACAGAGGTTTCGTGTTAGTTAAAAACACACTAACACCACATGCTTTAAGCATTCTTACAAGGTTTGACATTAACTTTCTTGAGAATGCCTAAGAATTTAATTGCAGGGTCACTTAGAGAAATGAAGTAACATGAGTTGTTTGAAATAGTATTCCAGTAGTAACTGTTACTGTGCTATGAGTAGATTTTTAGTAAATAATTTTTTAGCCTCTTCAAGGTGTTCAGTTAGTTGGGGCGCAGCGCACGAAAACAGCGCTGCGCCCCAACTAACTGAACGCCTGGAAGAGGCTAATAATTTTTGCACTCATTGCTCAAACTTTGAGCAGAATCCATCTTAATAAGTTCAACTTCCATAAAATTGATCAAACAGTTTTATTTTTTGGGTTTTTCCATTCTTACCTAGAAAATTCCTACTGTATTACAGACATTTAACTTTTGTGAAGAGTGCAAGGTAAAAAAGGCAAGTCCTGAATAATACTGACAATAATATTTCAGACAATATTGTTACATTGTATAAAAATATCCTCTGAGTTGATTGAAAATATAAAAAATAATTATATAACATAAATTTGTAATTACTGATCTACTAAAGACTTTTTAAGAGACAATAATTATTGAACTATTAATAACTTCATTATTAGTAGTGAATTGCATTGTACTTATTAAATTACTTTTCTGGCATCACTTTAATGAGAAAGTGTTCATAGGCAGCAATAAATCCATCTGGGTCTTCCCAATGTGGGTAATGGCCGATGTCTTCCGATAAAGATTTGTATGTGCCTTTAACAACTAATTCCCTGTTGATAAATTGAGAAATGAATAACTTGAAATGATCTTTGAGAACTCATTCCAAGGCCAAATTTATGCTACAGACAAGTCATCCAACACAAAATTTATATTTATTTAGGATGTCAAGTTTATCCATCTGAGACGATTTATTTCTGCCTGAAACAAATTATATCTGCCTGAGATGGATAAATTGTCCTAAGTTCTAAGTATAAATCTGGTGTTCATCTGCATTTTCTTCAAGATGTGCTGACAGATAAATCAGCTGAAGATGAATTTGGCCTCATAATTTATTCATCTAGATTTATTCCTTAGTAGAGGATTTATCCATCTTGGGCAGATGAATAACCCTTCTCAAATGAATAATTCTGCCCAGTATATAAATTTGGCCATTCTTAACCCATGCATGGCACAGCATTAAGGAATAACCAAACTAATCCAAATGCTAACCTTCACCCTAAGACAGCAATGCGAATGTCCCATAACAAAAGGCCTGATGAGGAGAGCAATGTCATTATACATGTTTGCATCACAAATCTTGGTAAATTTCAATCTGTTCTGCTTGCATGGTTAATATATAAGATGTTTGTCATCCTCACATCTAAGGGGAGCATCAGTCATCCAATTGCAACATATGCATGGCTAAACAGATATTAAGTGAATAGCCCAATTTCAATTATTAAAATTCAGCCTAAAAACAATAGACCTCAGCACGAGGCTCTGGGGAATAAACCCCACATACTCTGTAGTTATTTTCCGGAGCCTCATGCTGAGGTGTATTGTTTTAGTGGAATTTTAATATATTGAAATTGATCTACTATATGAAGAACAAAATAAGATGTTTATTTTAATTAAATCACCTGTACTTAGTGAGTGTTTGAGGAGGATTAATGGGATCTGCAGGTCCATAAATAAAATGCACTGAAATAAGAACAAGGAGAAATT